TTTTTTTATTGAACCGAGGTTGCTCAATCGATAGAGCGTCGAACTATGAATCTAGTGGTCCCTGTCACTCCTCTTTTCACTTCCAAGGTTTATGACTGAATGCCCTCTGTAGGAGGAAAATAGCAGACTACACATTATTGCTGCCACATAGCTGCTGTCAACTCTGCTCTGTAAAAAAGGCTCTACTGGTTGATGCAATAGAAATGAACATCAGCATACAACGATTAACAGTAAAAACGAAAGTCATGAGCAATGGCCCATCATGGAAGAAAGACCGACATTCACACTGTAATGAAAGTTCTATTTTCTTCCCTCCATTTCCATCACTCCGTAATGCCATGAAGTACTGTCGACACTGCCTCTTTCCATGAGAAGAAGGTTCAGTGTGATCATGGAGGGAGGAGTTCGATTGGATATAAATAAACAATGCCCTCGTTGCACTATGCTAAGAACGAAACATGGTCTCGTTGGTTGAAACCCGCTATTTTTAATGTTGAATACTTTAGTTCGATTTCTGGAAAGATCCCAGACGAATTGGATCGCCTGTCGACATCATGATTCCTCCAGTGACGGATGCAACATTTCGCCGAATCTTGAATCAAAGAAACATGTCCTACGTCATTACTATCGACGATGTGCAACGGTGAGTGTAATCTTCTGTGATCAACCTCAAACAGATTTTAGGACCATTCTCCGTCAAATTATATAACCGTTAGTTTGAAGTTTAGGCAGAGTTGAGTTCTTTGTCAGATCCTGAGGTCCATCGTTTCTAAACGGGGTCACGTGTCCTGGTTAGTTCTTGGACAGAGCCATTTCTTCTTCGAATGGTAAGCCTTGGAATGAGCAAACACTTGAAAATCGCTCAGAACCTCAGTCGTTTGCCAATGAAAACTTTGATGGACGTGAAACAGGTAATCAGCTTGCCGTGTAAGATAAACGTGCTGGTTTCAAACCTCTTCTGACTGCTAATTCCGTTAAGCAAGGAATCGCCACACTGTGCATCAGTGAAGTCAGTCAAAAAACGGGTAGTAAGTCGCGACATGCGAACAACAGGAGCATCATTCTGTTCTGGTGTGATGCCAAAAT